GCCCTGAGACAAACGCTTCAACCCATAAATTTGCATTAGATAAGTAAATAATTTAGTTTTTTTTGCTTGTACACTGAGCAGTCGTAACCTTTGTGCTGTTTGTGCTGGGTGCATTTATTATTACACAGACCTTCACTAATGTGCACCTGTTTAATAAGCACTTCACTAGATGGTCAGATTCCAGCTGCGTTCTGACTCACAGAGTCCTTACACAGTCTTCACTGCTCCCAACACACTGTTGCAGGGGATTTCAGCAGAAGTTCACATGGCACATTCATTTGGAACTACATGAACTACATCACTTCTAAAAAAAGAATTCTGAAAAAAGATGTTTCACAGTTTCCATAAAACATTAGGGAGCAACTGTTTTCAACATTGATAATAAATGTTTTAATTAAAATTAAAATGAAGTACAATTTTAAAATATAGTAAAATAGGAAAAAAGTTTTTATTTTTGTTAATTGTAATAATATTTCACAATATTACGGTTTTTACTATTTGCTGATCAAATAAATGCAGCCTTGATGAGTATTAGAGACTTCTTTTAAAAACATTAAAAATATCTTACAGACCTGAACGTTTTGAATGATAGTGTGATGATGATATTAAATGCTGTATAAGGAAATACAGCGCTTCAGAGAAATAGCCTAATGTGAAGCACATTTTTGCATTAATTATTTTCTGAAAGTGATGAACTAGTGCCTCAACATGCATGCTCGCTATGATTTGAAGTCTTTCATGAAATGGCAAGATACCCTGTTAAGTCCACTTTGCAGGGCCATATCAGGAGATTGGAAGGGTGTATGATTGGAAAGAATGAGCTAGCTTTGCAGACTTTTTTAGCACTCTACCTATTCATAGAGGTTTATTCTATTTGAATAAAGCTGACTGACTCTGCAGACATCAAGTACACCTCTGTGTTTCTCCTCTCTGTGGGTTTTAGAGTGGTGGTGGTGTTGAACCACTTTGAAACTCGTACAGTGTTGTGCAGGAAAACCTCAGCAGGGTGACCGTATCTGACGTTGATTTGACACTGGCGCAACTAAGACCTTTACTTTCTGACATCTTGGATTTGGTGTGTGTGAAATTGTGCTGTATTAGTAGGTTGTAAATGGCTGTGGGATAAAACATTAGACACTCTGGGCTGTGATGAGGGAGAGGGGGTTGAGTGTAGGAGGGAGATATGTGGGCGGATGACTTGGTGAGAAAAGTCAGAGGAATAAAATTCATATGAACAACAAAACATGAATATCATGCAGGTATACACTTGGCTGCTCACAAAGGTGTTTGGTGAATTCTGTATTTTAAGCTAATTTTTATCTTGGTTTTCTAGGCTTAATACTGCAACTGTCATGTGGTGTTAAATAGGGCACCATATGCTGTCGCGATTCGTCGATTCTATTCGACTATTTGATTTATACTTCATTTATACTTCATTTTACCTGCGTCGACTAACCGGCAAAATACCGGAAGTGGCGCATTACACGGACGAGAATCCATAAAACACATTATTAGCACTGATCTATATGATTCTCTATAGATCAGTGATTATTAGACTGTTTTCCAAGGCCTCATGATATATTAAACCCGTTTAAAAATCATAATTAAGCATAACTGAATTCACAAATGCTACGATTTAATTAAATATTTATATGTGATGCAGTTATAGGTGTGTAGGTTACGTACGTGCACCTCACAGCGGCTCCGTTCACAGTAAATGCTGTTCCACAGGAACTGTTATCATTTACATGTGTGGAGCGGCTCAAACTCCATCTCTGCATGTTGTTGTGAGTTTGGGTTTATTATAACGTTCATCTGGGAACGCAACGTGCGCCATTTCATCAGATTTGTAAGGTAAATCATTTATAAATCCACGCAAATACAGGAGAATACATCATTATCTCGCCGTTTCAAAATAAAATCTCAAACCCTCACTCTGAGTTTAAACGTTCATCATGCTGGAGATGTCTGTTTAAATCTGTTGTTTACACATTTCTAAGAGTACTTTTAATACTTAAAATTTTTAATAATGATAACTTTTAATAATAACATTTTACTTGATTCTAGTGGACTCCAAACATTGCATTTATTTAATGTGAAAACCCAACTGTTGGGGTTAATTGAAACAGATTTTGTTTTTCCCTTTGTAGTTGCACTCACAGCTGTAATGAACAGAAGCCCAGAACATGTGGATATATTGACATTAAGAACATGCTGACTTTCTCAGACTTTTGTAATTATTTTCTTTTTATTTCATTTTTATTAGGTTTGTTTACATTTTTACTCTTTTAGTTTTACATTTCGTCAATGCTCGTTTACATTTATAGATTTTTATGGTACACTACTGAATGGCAAAGTTGCAAGTTTAATAAAATGTTCTTTAAAATTGTTGATTTTTTAAAGGGAAATGAATCGTTTAGATTAATCGATAAATTAGTCGGTAGATTAATCGAAATATAAATAGTCGTTAGTGGCAGCCCTAGTGTTAAATTATGAGTAAAGGGTCTCAAAAGTGTCTCAAAGCGCTCATTTTAAAGGCTTTGATCATACATAGCATCAATACAGAACTTTTCCAACAACGGTGTGAATTGTCTGAGCTGATGTAACAGCAGGTCTTGTACACACATGACCTCCAGTTCAAACAACATCAAAATGCGGTTAAATGTACAGAATAGACTGTATGTGTTAAACGTCCTGCTGTCTGTTTATATATGCATGCATCAGTTTCAGGTTCAGTGTGGTTCTGCAAAATGCTTCACAGTGCGTCACAATGCCTCACACCCTATGATATCCAATTCCTGGAATGTAATTTAACCACAGCTAACTCCTTTATTATGATTGGACCTGAATTTTTTTTCACAGTGTCTTCAGTACTCTCATTATCCCTTTATTTGATTGATAAAACAAGTCACTACTTTGACACCCTGGACATGTGAAAAAGCAAGTGTATCTCAGAGAGAGAACTGACAGACATGTGAAGCATTTGGCAGATGCGGTGTGCGTGCTCATGGTCATAGCCTCCATCTCTCTCTCTTTCTCTTGTTTCCCTTTCAGTCAAGCTGTTCAGACTCATAAGCTCAATCATACATCTCTCATTCTCTCTTTCGCTCACACACACACACACACACACACACATCTCTCTTCAGTGCTGTGTGAATCTCCTGTGCTGTCAGTGTGTTGTTGTGTGAGATGTTCCTGGCTGGTCTGTAGTATTTCACCTGCTTTTTTACCCTTTTTTCTGAGTGTGTTCACCAGACCGAATGATTTGTCCGTAAATGAATGTCTGCATCTCTTTTAGGTCTGATTTCTCCATCCCTTCAGCTGAACAGCTCAGTTATTGATTGTCATTTCTGCATTTGTTCCCGACAATTGTTGGAATATGATGGATCAGTAAGTGAATTAATGACTGATTGGATTGGTATGGGTCATTATAGGGGGTAGTTAGAGTCGTTCTTGTAAGCTACAATCACGGCACCTTTGTCAGCAGACTCTGCTTTCAAACAGCATTATGCCTGCTGAGTATTTTTACTGGAGCCATCTCTGTGTGCATGTGTGTGTGTGTGTGTTCAATTTCATTTGTTTTGGAAGCCGAGCAGCTCATGTCTCTGCCCTTCCCCCATCTCTCTCTCTCTCTCTCTCTCTCTCTCTCATGCCCACTGTCATTCTCTTTTTCTTCCTGAACCAACCTCTCTGCTCTCCTCTCCTCATTTTAAAGCAGAAATGCATCATGTGTTTTATTCAGGAATGTCTGGCAGGCTCCTGGTTGTAAGAGCATCTGCTCTGATTTGTTCTTGCTTGCAGCAGAGGGATTGAGTTGTTAATCAGTGCATTGTTAGCTTTTTATTGTCTGGTTAACTCCTCTTGTCAAAAGGAGAAGCTAATATTTATTTACACAGGAAAGAATGCAAACAGATGTTACTTAAGAATATTGTAGGTTCCAAACGCAAATGGTTAAACGGATAATTCCACCCAAAATTCTAATTCTGTCATCGTATACTCATCCTCATTGCATTCCAAACCTGTATAACTTTTTTGTTTGAAAAGCAAGAAGATATTTTGAAACATATTTTAACTGTTTTGGTACATATAGTGAAAGCCAATGGAGTCTAAAGCAACACTGGACCCCATTGACTAACATTGTATCATTTTTCACTTCTATATTATTACATGATGACGGTGAGTAAATGATGACAGAGGATGTTTCTCAATTCTAAGAACCATCTGGCCATCCCAGCACATTTTAAATAGCAGGACAGCACCACCCATTGCACAATTATATACTGTGAACATAACATCACAGATGTCATCATAACTGATTAAAAATGTACTCACATTATTTTATATCTTTTTATTTTACTGCATGTATTTATAAATTGTGCTCTGTCAATGGTAAGATTCTTTAGAATATAAAGAATTCTTCAATGGTTTAGGACGACGTACTGCGAAAACACAAGTATGCAAGGTTGCATAAGAACACGTACTGAGAAATGTCAAGACTGTTCATTTTTTGGTGAACTGTCTCTTTAATCTCACCAGGAAACACACATCAATCAAACTGGACAGCATGTGTTTGTTTGCCGTTCTGGAGAAGAATGGTTTATTATTAAGAATGTTAGTGTGTACATTGCCCATCTTTGCTCTGCAATGCATTGTTTGCCCTCTTCTGTTTGGTTTTTCCGTCTCGTTTTCAAGCCTGTGGAATGTGACACTTCCGTTGTGTTTGGGGCTGCTCCTGCATATATCATAGCTTAGACCATTACTGAACTATCCTAGCCTGAGGGAAAGCGCGTGTGTGAGAGATGTGTTTGTATTTGAGTGTGTGCCTTCAGATGTGTGTATCAGTGTCTGAGCTGCGAGTATGTGTATGCGTGTTTGCCCAGTAAACAGTTTGGCCTATGCAAATGAACTGCGTTTGGCGCTGGAAGTGTGATGTTGTCATCGAGTTGGCTCAGAATGTGCGTGTTAATTTCTGCCGCTCTCTTCCTTTCCTTCTCCTGTAGCAAATGGTGATGAGCCTGCGGGTGTCAGAGCTGCAGGTTCTTCTGGGCTATGTGGGCAGAAACAAACATGGACGAAAGCACGAGCTCCTGACTAAAGCCTTACACCTCCTTAAAGCTGGCTGCAGCCCTGCCGTCCAGATGAAGATCAAGGAGCTCTACAGACGACGCTTCCCCACCAAGCTGGTGTCCCCAGCAGAACTGGCCCTGCCCGGAGTCCACCCCGCCGCTGCCTCCTTGCCCCCCGGCCTCACGCAGTTGGGATTTGATGGGCACGGAGCGCCCCCGTCCCCTCTGCTCCCCATCTCCCTCCTCGGGCCCAAACACGAGCTGGGCCTGCCCCACCTCCCCACGAACCTGCACCCCGTACACCCTGATGTCAAACTGCAGCGGCTGCCCTTCTACGACGTACTGGATGAGCTCATTAAACCCACGAGTCTTGGTGAGTTTCTGAGATTTTGAGGAGTGATAGTGTGGTGTGTATGTTAAGTGCACATTTTTAGTGGTGTATTTTTTAGAACAGTGCGTATCTGTAGATCTGTGTGATGTACGGCAACCACAGAGATGCGTGGACCCCTTTTTCCCTACATTAGCATTTTAATGGTGTTGGCTGGTTTGGCATCAGCATGTTCGTTTGCCTGAGGAGTGTTGTTCAAATAGACTGCCAATCCCCACAACCAACCACAGTCGCTCTCTTTTCCTAAACTGTCTCTCTCACTCTCATTTGCATACAGTGTTGAAATCATGAGTACACACACTATGGCACCAGACACCATTACAACCCTCACACAGAATTTTCTAGAGCACACATTGCAGTGGTCGAAACAGCCAGAGTCCAAAATTAACTTGTGAAAATCTATCTATCTATATACAGTTGTGGTCAAAATTTTACATACACTTTGCAGTATCTGCAAAATGTTAATTATTTTACCAAAATAAGACGGATCATGCAAAATGCATGTTATTTTTTATTTAGTACTGACCTGAATAAGATATTTCAAAAAGACTAGTTTAAGCCAGGCTCACACTGTATGATTTTTTTAAAGTCCTTTAGGATTGTACTTGTCAGACTTAGGGCTGTCGCGGTGAGGGAATTTCCCTTGCGGTAATTTTGAGTGGCTCAATAGCGCGGTATTATCGCCATACATATACAGTGGGTACGGAAAGTATTCAGACCCCCTTAAATTTTTCACTCTTTGTTATATTGCAGCCATTTGCTAAAATCATTTAAGTTAATTTTTTTTCCTCATTAATGTACACACAGCACCCCATATTGACAGAAAAACACAGAATTGTTGACATTTTTGCAGATTAATTAAAAAAGAAAAACTGAAATATCACATGGTCACATGACACTCATATATTTAACTCAGGTCCTGTCCATTTCTTCTGATCATCCTTCAGATGGTTCTACACCTTCATTTGAGTCAAGCTGTGTTTGATTATACTGATTGGACCTGATTAGGAAAGCCACACACCTGTCTATATAAGACCTCACAGCTCACAGTGCATGTCAGAGCAAATGAGAATCATGAGGTCAAAGGAACTGCCTGAAGAGCTCAGAGACAGAAAAGAGAAAGACAAAATAACGGTCCACATAACAGTAAATAAACCTGACAATAAGATCGTTAGGCTATCATTAGCCTATATGTATAGCAGTTAGCCTAGTTGTAATCTGATTTTCTAATCTGACTGGACAAGAGACTTTCTATTGATATTTCCACCTGCGCGCGTTCTAGACGGGCTGTCAGTCCGTGCAGTTACAGTGTTGCGCCACAAGGTGGTGAACTGGTGGTGGACTGTCATTCAACTACACGTTCAAAAACGCTGATTCATTCTTTCAAAGAGACGTAATGAAACACGCTGTTGAAATCATTTTAACTTTGAATGCCACTTTAGAAGGCTCAGCTGACCAGCTATGCGTCCATGCTAAGACAGAGATTTCTATAACAGTTAGCCTAGTTGTAATCTGATTTTCTAATCTGACTGGACAAGAGACTTTCTATTGATATTTCCTCCTGCGTGCGTTATAGACGGGCTGTCAGTCAGTGTTGTGCCACAAGGTGGTGGAACGTGACTGTCATTCAACTACACGTTCAAAAACGCTGATTCATTCATTCAAAGAGACGTAATGAAACATGCTGTTGAAATCATTTTAACTTTGAGCGCCACTTTAGAAGGCTCAGCTGACCAGCTATGCGTCGATGCTAAGACAGAGATTTCGCTTTCCTTGGACATGACAACCTATTTTCACAAATGTATATGACTCTGCCTGGAGGACAGACGCAAGTAATCGCACGCGCTCATTCGATCTTTCTCTCATTCACTGTCTGTTTAGGCTGTTTAGGAGCCTCTGTACAAATCAGCATGGTACACATTATGTTATCATTACCAACTTGTTTAATATTCAGTCTACATGCATGAAGTGTAAAACGAGAAGGGCATAACCTTACGAAAAAAGAAAACCCGCAAAAATCGCGGTTGCTGCGGTTCTTGCATTCCTCTGCGGTTTGCTCGTCAATAGCGCGGTATTGCGATATTGCGGTTATCGCGACAGCCCTAGTCAGACTGTACGAACATGATGATCATGTCACACTGTGCAATATTTTTAACATTTATTTTTAGGATTGTTGGCTATCATTAAAAGTATATGAATGGCGGCAATACCGGCGTATTTATGCAGAATAGTGCAAGCAGCAAATCATAGCAAAGGCAACAAGAGCGTCGGAGTTTATGCGGTTAGAAGAAATCTCTAGCATTAATTCTGATCATGGCTTGTCTTGAAAAACGAAGACAGTTTGACGTTCGCCGTAGGAGATGTCACACTGCAGGACTGTGTGCCAAATCTTCTGACACTGCCAGAAGTTCGGCGGAGGTCAAATTTAATCGCAACAGCCATTAATCGGCTGTAGGTGAACATGTCAAACTAACAATCAAAGACTACAGATTTTAGCCTAGGATTATAGGAATCTTTTAGGATTTTCAAAATTTGTCTCAGACGACCAAATCGTGGCCAAAATCGCACAGTGTGAGCCGGGCTTAATAGTCCAATTTATAAGTCTATATATTTAAAATAATAGTTGAATTTATAAAAATTACCCCATTCAAAAGTTTACATATGCTTGATTCTTAATACTGTATTGTTACCTGGATGTTCCACAGCTGTTTTTTTTCCTTTGGTTTTTCCAATTTTCTTTTGCGTATTTGAACCCTTTCAACAATGATTGTATGATTTTGATATCCATCTTTTCACACTTTCAACTGTTCAGGACAAACAAGTGTTAAACAACTATCAAAAAAAAAAAACATGCTGTGGATCATCCGGGTAACAACACAGTATTAAGAATCAACCATATGCAAACTTCTGAATGGGTCATTTTTATAAATTCAACTATTATTTTCTCTTGTGGAATAAATGTCTTTTATGTTAAAAAAGGTTAGTACTACATAAAAGGTCAGTACTAAATACAAAATAACATGCAACTCTTAAAAAATAACATGCAACTCTTACAGACCTGATCACTTTTTTACATAAAATATGCTAAAATGTTTTTCTTGCAGCATCATGTACAGATTGCTGAGACCCACCATGACATTGTTTTGTATATTTTTTCTTTGGTAGCTTTGTTTCAAGAATGTCTTGCCACTGTTCTGGAAAAATGGTGTAAAAGAATAAAAACTTCTGGTTTTAGAGCTAATTGTAACGGTAAATCTTCCACTAAGGTGAAAGTTGTTAGAAGACATGTGACAGTCATTAAGCTTTTCTTTAGCTGAATCACTAGTGGTGCTTACTTTAGCGATTTTCGACTGTTCCTTTGTTCCTCAGGAATGAGTTCTGGACAACAGTATACTTACACATAGATGAGTTCCAGACTGTGCTAGAGCACTCACTGCTAAACGCAAATGACTTCTAGAACTAGGTTATAGTAACAAAACATGCATATAGTGCATGCATAATTCTTTTGCAGCAAACAAACACTCATCTACTTCACTCATAAATGCACAAACCTATGAAGCTTCCACCCCAAAAATGCATCCACCCCACAGCTCATGTATAAAATATCAGCCTGCTGATAGATAGACTATTCAGGGTGTACTGTGCTAAAACATCTAAAGTCAGAGCAAAATGTCTGCTCTGGAGATTTCTTTAAGATGGGAGAACATATGAAGTGTGTTTTTGGCTGTGTGTATTTCAACTTGAGCAAAGTAACTATACTCAAGGTGTTACAATTTTTCAATTTAATGCTGCAGGTAATAATTCAATTTGTTTATGCACAATATGATGTTACTGTTAATATAGTCTCTTCACTTGCTTTCTCTCTCTTTGTTTTAAAGGCTATAATGATTTTGGCATTTGATTTTGTATTAGAGTAATCCTTTTAAATGTCTTGAGTTCAGAGTAATGTTCTCAGTGGTGTAAATAGGTGCTTAGATCACACACCAACTAAAACTTTTCACAGTTTGTTTCGCAGTCGTAGGTTTTGAATTGCACATGTGAAAGGTGATATGCAGAACAGACAACACAGTCCCAGCAGTACTAGCGTGACCGTACGGCTTTTTAAAGAGAGCAATATACTAGACTTGCTGTGTAATAAAGTAAAGTGTAAATTTAGCAGTTTTGAATAGATAAGCAAACATGTTAGATATGTGGTTAGACATTAACGTTAACTAAATAAGCCTATACCTTCAGTCTGGGTAAAACAATGATGTGTTTGATCAGTTTGTGCATATTTAAATTTTCATTGAGCTTTATTGAATCATAGATTATATTCCAATGGCATTCAATCTCATTCATTGCAAGTGCTTAAGACCATTTTAGCAGATGTGTGCTCAGTCTCTTGGAACAGATCTGTAGGTTTGGTGTTAGCATGGTTAAAGACACCATTTTATTTATTATAGCTAATTTTGTTTCAAGCTAAATGTTTGTATGATGATGTGTCTATTTAGCATGCCTGTTCTTTGTTTGTTCTTTGATAGTAGTGTGTTGTGTTTTGATTCTCTTATTTTCCCTTTGCTTTAAAGTAATGGTAGAATTAATGATGTTAAAACACACCCTACTAAATGCTGTTTAAGTCCTCCTGGGAACATCCTACTTACAAATTCGGAAAATGTTTAGGTGATTTTCGTCAAAATAAAATTAACTCAGTGGACACTTTTCTCTTTCCATACATACACTTCCTAAGTTTAGGGTGTGCAACATTTGTAATTTGTTTTTGTTTAGTTTTTTGGGAGAAAAACAAAAGCAAAAAACAAACAACAAAACAAAGCTCACCAAGTCTACATTTATAAAAATAAAAAAAAAAACATAAAACACTAATTTGTGAAATATTATTATTTTAATATTTCAGGCCGTGTAGATAGGCAAGCATATATACAAATCATTTAGTAAGCAGAAAACTGAAATTTACCTTAACATATTAAGTTAGAGGAAGAAGCGACTGA